TTTGCCTTCAATCTTTCCCAGCATCAGGGTCTTCTCCAAAGAGATCTCTCTTCGCAAAACAGAACATTAGCAAACAGCAAAATATGCCAGAGGGCTGGCTTTAGGAATGCACGTACTTATGGAATTAGTTATGCACAATGCAAACTGGATGTAGCAGGCAGCAACTGGGAAGTCCAGAGCTCTTTTAATAAAAACTGAGCAGAAAGCATATCCAGTATTTTATCTCTGATAGATAAATTGGGAGAAGAGGGTGTGCCTAGTATGAGTGAACAATATAAACAGCTGAGGCAACACTGTACCTTTCTGAAAATAGCTGGTGGCGTGTCTGTCCCAACCTACCACTAATATTTCTGCAGGCTGAACCAAACTAAGCATCAAGAATGCCACCTACACCATTCTTACTTTGAGCCACTAGGTGGAGACATTTCAATTATTAGCATCCTTCTCAAAGGATTGCAAGGAACAGCAAGCAGGTCCATATCCAAATTCACTAATAAAGTGGTGCAAATTCAGCTTGTAATATAAAGCTTAGTAACTGAGGAAGAAAGACCATCATGGAGAGATGACATAAAGTTCTCCTGAGGTAACAAGAACTGCTGCTGATACCGTATTTCTGAGCTCTTCTAAAAGATCTGAAATGAGCCTCACGGTCAAATTTTCTAAGTTCCTCCAGTTTTTGGCATGCAGAGACATTATTGGCTGGCAAAGGAAAGAAGATGTGAGGCAGATGGTAGGAAGGTGAAATCCAGAAAATTCTCGGAAAGAGTAACTAGACAGCCTGAGAGGGCTTAGTCCATGGGCGAGACAATGGGATTAAGGAAGAGGATTGGATTTTCTATGCACTGGGAGCTGCTCTGGGAAAGCCAGGCCTGTGCAAAATAAAGTTAAATTGAATTGGACTGTTGGGCTTACTATCAAAAGCTGCAGAGAAGCTCTCAAACTGCCAGCTAAGTGAAGATGACTGGTGGAGGGTGTTCAGTTAAGAAGGCATTAAAACTAAGGGTAAGGGTAAAAATAGTTCTGATCATTCAAGTGAGTATCAAACAGGACTAAGCTAGGAATGGCAAATCTGTGGTCCTCCAGACACTGCTGACCTACAGCCCCCAGCCTCCCTCATCACTGGCCACAATGGCCGAGGCTGCTGGAGATTGCAGATAAGCACCTTTCGATGTGGCAATGAGCATCAAGTAAGATATGATGGCCAGTTGAAAAGCTGTAAGGGAAAAACCCACATGCTACAGGGAGAGGAACAACTTATACAGATATATTTTATGTTTAATATTTTGTGGACACTATATCAGCTAAAAAGAAGGGCATCTTTCCTCCCTCGAGCCATCTGCCATTCCATTGGGTCATACCTGCTACATCACACTCACCTTAGTGAAATGGAACTGCAGGGGATCATCTGTGGACAGGGAGACCATGAGGCCCCGAGACAGGTACTCTGGTAGTGGATTACGATGGTAGCTTAAGAACAGACTGTTGTTGCTAAGTGGAGACATAGCAATGCCAATCTGAGCCAGGTAGTAGAGGTACTGCAACACAGGTGCCTAGAGAGAAACTCGACATTAAGGCATGGAGTATCTCCAGCAAACACCGAGCCCTGCCTAAGGCTTGCCTCAGGATAAATATACATGGGCCCCCTTCCTTCAATCCACTTGGAAGGCTCACGAATAGAAACTCGTTCATGAAACAACAAGTATCTCCAGCATGCAGGCACAGCGGTGATCTATTCTCATTTTCTTTTTGCCTTCTGCCTAGGCTCCCACTACATGCTTGCCACAACAGTAGCCTTCATCACAACGCCCAAAAGTATGTGGTGGTTTAAGCAGCTGCTTGGTTTCTAAGCAACGTTTCTGCTTCATCATATATATACAGGCATGTCCAGAGGTCCTTGTTTTTATATGTGGTTTTCATATGTATTCCCTCACCTTGCGGAGCAGGAGGCCGTGAGATATGTTCTCTGACAGCATGAACCCTGACACAAGATGATGGATGGGTCCTGCCTCCCCACAGTGGGGTCGCAGCACAAAGGTGTGGAAGCCTCGCTTCCTAGAAAAAAAAGGAAAGCAAAATATACAGCCCAGTCAATCGAACGAATGGCATTTTGGAAGAGGAGAAGTCAAAATGCTGGTAAGATGGAAAGAGGAACAGAAATTAACACCCAAGTTACCGCATCAAAGATATGAAACTAAAACCAGGAGCCACAGACCTCAAGACCTGGGTATTTCAGTGTCTAATATGTCACTGTTGTTACCAGAAAGGTAAAAAAGGGTACTCAAGACCTTAAAAGCCAGCAGGGAGGAGGGTGCCATTCTGGAGCTGACTCAAATTCAGAAAAGGTGGGTGAGGAGAGAAATAAGCAGCAGACCACCTACCTACGCAGATGATTCAACACCACCATATTAGCATATGTGTAATAAAGGTAATAGGAATATGGTGGGTTATCTTCTTCCACCCAGTTGCCAGGCAAGGGACTGTCCAAGTTGAAGATATGGTGTTCTGGCTTGGACTCATCATCTACACTATCAAAACCATCCACCTGTCCATTCAGAACCCAGAGAAAGAAAGGAAGAGAATGAAAATGTTCCTGTCAGTTTTAAGGACTCTTGCATCTTCATTCGCTTTATGCAAATTAGGCAGAGTGATCATGACAATAATTAAGACTGATATATGTCAAGGGTTCAGCCATATGCCACCTAAGTGGTCCTCAAGACCAGGTGTATCCAAGACACACATACAGAACATTTGTGTACAACCATCCTTTACTCTGCCCCAAATGCAGAGATACTATTAGCCATCCCTTGAGCAAGTACTGAGGGTTAGGTTTGCTTTTTCCAATATCACTACTTACGTGCTCCAAGAAGAGATGCAACTCTGGGTGGCTAGCAGGATTGATGGTAGCTTCAAAGAGCGGTAAGAAAATGTTCTCCAGCATCTCCTGGAAGTTGGCCAACTGTTTCTTTGTTTTGTATACATCACTGTTGAAAGTCAAGATATAAAAGGCAACAGTGCTCCATCACACATAAATTTCTTCATACCTGACAGCTGACAATAGTATTCCTCAGATCTCTGTTCTGAGCTGACTGAGGGCTATCATTAGCAGTAGGGCAGTGTGGCGCTTCACATGCCCGTATCCCAGATCCTTGGAAGGAGCATAGATAGCGCATTTCCTAGACGACTAAGCTGGTTCAAATTTTTACCTGTTGTCAATTTACTAGGTGGCACTTAGCTACCTGTTCCTCCTGAACTGAAGCAGGAAACAAGCTTTGTTACCCAGTCAAACTGCTTTTACTCCAGTACCAGAAAACTGCATAACCTCTTCCCACATCTCTCCCTTTCCTGGCATTAAAATTACAACAGAAATTATGAACAAAGCAGCTACCATCTGTACCCTGATCACAGCACTTAAAATCAGCTGTTTCCTGGTAAGGCTTGCACAACTTCTGGGAATCAAAGTCAGATCACTTAAGTTACCCAACTTCTTCATGAATCCTATTCCCAATATTCCTCACTGTAGGTGTCATACAACTGAAGTGGTTGGAGGAAATAACTATATTATACAGTGATTTAGTAAAAGAGGATGTACTTTTGGGAAAACATGCAAAGTTTTATGGACAAATACTTTCAATATTGCTTTAGTTGTGGTGCTTCTGTTGAGATTGTGGAGAACAGAGTTGCAATTGGCTCTTTCCCCATCCTTTCCTGCCATCCGCAATGGAGAATTTTTTCTGAGTGGCAGACAGAAATCTAACTGATGGAGCCCTTCCCAGTTCAGATGCTTCATTACCCAAGTAGGTAACATCATCAGTGCAAGTCGTATTATATCACTTTGGCTCATAAACTGATACTGCAGCTGAGCAGCCTGGTCCAAAGGGTGGTTTCCCGCTAACTGGGATTACAACTGCTCTGGAAGTCAAACACCAGGATCCAACGACGGAAAACTGAAGAGCCCTCTATACTTCTCATCAAGGTGGTTGCCATTCCTGACTGTCAAAAAATACAGTGCAATGCTACTTGTAGCATAAAGATGCTGGCTGGGGAATTCTGGGAGTTGAAGTCCACCCATCTTAAAGTTGCTGAGGTTGAGGAACCCTGCTCTATAAAGTACTAGAACAATTTCCCCCAAGGATATCCAGACAAAAGATAAGGCACACTGGCCTCACTGATCCTAAACATGTATGCTCTGAAATTGGTTCCAGGATTGAGCCTACAAGGTCTAACCTTAACAATAACTGTTCAAACATGGTTTTCAATAGACTTCTAAAAATAGAAAATTGGAAGGGCAAGATTTATCTCCTTTAAGGTATAATCTTGATGCCAGAATTATATAAAAAGTAAGCCCTGTGCTCACCTTTTTACTGGATAGAAACAGCTATTGAGTATTAATAATATAGCAGCTAATGTGGAAAACCCTTTGTGATTCAGCCCTTTTTGGGCTGGTGTTTGACTTCCACAGCAGTTGTAATCCCAGTTAGTGGGAAACCACCCCTTGGACCAGGCTGCTCAGCTGCAGTATCAGTTTATGAGCCAAAGTGATTCAATGAGGGTTTTGCACATTAGCTGCTATATTATTAATACTCAATAGCTGTTTCTATCCAGTAAAAAGGTGGCTGGATAGAAAGTGATTCAGTGAGTCTCTGCATGTTTTTGAAAGAGCAAAAGCAACAAATAAGGTACTCACAACAGCCGAGGCACCTGCACCAGCCAGCGTATGTTGTTGGAATGCACTTTGTGTGTAACAGCCCACTTGGCCAACTTATCCCACTCATCCCGTGCTCGGCCGTAGATAGAGAGCCGCAGTTCTGCATTCTGATATTTACTCTCTTCTAGGTCAGACATCACTTCCTGCCAGAAGAGAAAGGGTCTGTTAGTTTCAACTTCTCCACTGAGGAACAGGCTCTGCAGGCCTGTCTCCAAATATAGTCCATCGGACCAGGCACTGGGGCAAAAGACCCCGAGCCAAATTGGCCATGGAGAGCTGTGCCTGGGGACCAGACTGCCAAGACTGCCAACGAAGCATCACATAGCCTGTACATCAAAACTTTGGTCAGGTGATGGCAAACACTACCTTAAAACTGGAACAGCTAAGGATAAATTTAGGCTGCCTCCACAGTGAGCTGATGAATTTTCACAGCATTTTCCCAAAGGAGAAAGGGAAAACTACAAGCCTAGCATGTGACAAATGGAAAAATCAGAGGCAAGCTGAATATGCCAAAAAACGTTACTTTCCTTGGTCAAGTTGAAAGTTGGCACTTTAAGAATGGGAGCTCTTTCTAAAAAGACACACGTTCTTATATCCTGTCTTTTTTCTGAGAAGTCTGGGTGACTTAGATGGGGGCCTCACCATATAACATTTATATGCCCACCATCTCTTTCTGCCCACCTCCTGCCCCCTTGACCCTATTACTTCTCCAAAGCCAATCTGTTTGATCCTTCCCAAGCTTCAAAGTCCAAAAAGATAGCTACACTTAAGTTCAGCCCTCTGGCTTTAAGAAGGTATGCACAAATGAGACCAGGCAGCTATCAACCTTGCAAGGTAGTCCAGACAGGAAGCACAACCAGATGGACTCATTTTACTTTATTGTAACAGTAACAGAATCGTGCAAGTCTGAAAATACATTTCTCCCCTGTTGCCTTTTCAGCCCCAGAAACTTGGGTGAGTCCCTTCTGAGATGTTTGCCATGCCCACATTCCTTCTGTGGGCTCAGCTGCCTCTTGTCCAACTCTTCTCCTGCTTTGGCTCTTCCCCTATCTTCTAAGGACATTCCCACATATCATTACAGCAGTCCTCACCTTGATGATATGAGCAAAGTATTTTCCAGAGACTCGGTTGTCTGTCTTAATGAAAATCTCACGCAGAACAGATTCTCCTATGGGATTGTATTTGGCATTGAACTTGTCAAAACGATGAAATGTGTTACGATCCTATTAATAGAGAGGATGCCAAGACAGACCATCACAATGATAAGCCAGAACAACAGGGCTGCCCTCTCTTCCCTGCTTACCACTACTGATAACTATACATTTCTTTAATCAGGAATGCCTCCATCAGCCCCTTTAATTGAAGAGCAGTGCCCTCCAAGATCAGAAGCTGCTACATATTTGTTTAATGAGCACTTTCTTCTCTTTGATAAATGTCACCCAATTACCTATTGAGGATAATTGAGACCAGGTTTTCTATTGCTTGTAACTGAGGCAACTTTAGAGCTGTATTCCAATAGACCTGAAAAAGTCAGGAACTTTGTGCATGTAAGATTGTTCTACAGGAAAGAGTTAAGAACATTTTTCTGGCCTAGTACCCAAAGGTAAGATTACCATATAACCCGGCAGGAAAATCAGTGGCTTCTAATTTTCTTTCCAAGTCAAGAAAAGGTACCCTGTACGATGAGTGCATCTAACATACCGCATGGACATCAAGAGTGTCTACGCTGAGATCGTATGCTGTGAGATTCATGGTCTCAAAGACTTCCTTAAGGGTTTGCTCCTTGCCCTTCTCCACGTGAACAATTTCTTCCAGATGTTTCTTCATAGCTCGTTTGATGAAGCGTAACAGATGCTTCTGATTCATACAGGATGACGCATGAATGTGTGTGTCCACCTGCTCAAAGGATTAGTGGCTAAGTGTGCAAGCTAGAAAGATGCATGCTCAAATATTATCTTAGGCATTAGCTAACTTTAAGGAGAACCATTATCTCTCAGCCTCAACTTTGTTTTTCCGTCTGTAATGCAGGAATAATACCAACTTATCTTCCAAGTTTGTTATATGCACTAACATAATTATTTGGATGGTTTTTTTAAAAAAAATGCATATATACTTATTACTCACAATTCCACAACCTCTCTGATTAGCTTGTTTGACTGGAAGACCCTCAAAATGGGCCCAGAGATGCAAAGGCTGGGTACAAAAGTCAACATTTCCATTGAAAGTGTTTTGCTATAAATCTAAAACTAGTAGGATCTGCTACTCTTTCCCTTATCAGTACAAAGTGGTTATGGGCTGTACTGGTGAAATGTTCTGCAATAACTACTGAACTTTCTAGGTTCAGTAATCTGTGGCACTGACATAATGTGTAGCCTTAAGTACCGGCACATATTCTCAAATTATACAGCACTCATACCTTCCGGATATTGTAGAAGTCACGATGTGGCACCCTTTTCTGAGCAGCGAGCTCTTTCATCTCATTGAGTAGGACGTGCATCTGGAACTTTGAACTCAGGTATTGCAGTCGCCTATAGCAGAAGGATTTTCTGTCCAAAGGTGAAAAGAAAACAGGCTAAGCTTTGTACACCCTGATCAGAACATTTACTAGCACTTGAAATCATGGAGATCTAGTTTCATTATTTATCCCAGAAGCTGGCTCAGTCCATAAATTGATGAAGGAACAATTTGTATTTCCAGAAGGTTTTACATGGATGAGAAAGCTCGGTCCTTCTTTCCACAGATAGAATATGGGAATTACCAAGGATCCCATAAAATTAGGCCTGCGCTAAGTCAGCCTAACGGTCTCTCTATAGTAGCATAACTTACAATTCTAAGAAACTGAAAAGCAAAGCATCGTCCATCCTTGTGTTTTTGGCTCCTAGTACTCAAAGTTGTTCTGAAGCATTCTCCAACCTAATACCTTCCAGATTTACTGAGAATACGTGGTAGCTAATTTTGGGAAATGTAGTCCCCATGTGTCTGGAGGGCACTACCTTGAAGAAGTCTGATACGCTCTCTTTCAACCTAAAGAATGTACTTTGATTATCCCAGAAAATAGTCATCACCTGAACGAAGCTCCATGCATTTATCAGTTCTTTAAATTATATAAACAAAAAAAGAATGATGCAAGTGTCTCCCATAAAATCTTATTATGACAATGCATTTTATATGACAGATACCAGGATCATAATGTATGTAAGCCAAGCTTGTATGTAAGCCAAGCTTGTAGAATGGCTATTTGGAAAGAGGGAGCTTGGCACCTTGGTTTTGCGTATACAGATCAAAAAGGTAGAAAATAGCTTCACTTACATGGGACCATTGATGATCAGAGCCATCAGAACGTTCATGTCAGCCACAAACTCCTGCAGGTCAGGATAAGGCAAGTCCAGTTCAGTGGTCCTTTTCAAAATGCAACAGAGAACAAACCCCAAAGACATGAGCAAAACTGCATCATGGAGAGGAAGCAAGGAAAAGAACAACAACAGCAACAGCTACACTGCCCAGGTGTGTTTAGGGGATAGTTATTTGAGTAATTCAGTACATAGAAACCTGTCAAACCAAGAACAGCCTCACCAATAATCCAGAACCCCCACCCCCATTATAGTCACTGGTTAGTGTTTACTTTGAAAAGTAAGTGTTTTACTAGACAAAGTCGACAAGAAAGATGCTCTGTATGATTTTTCACCCTGAAGTACACTAAATCATTGTTAAATTGGCAGAATCTTGGGTTCCACATTTAGTCTAGCACTAGTAAAGAATAATTGATTTTCTGCATTTGTCAAGAGAAGAAATGAGCAATGCAAAATGCTTGTTTAACGTCTATAAATAGCTGCTATAAGAGATAGTTTAGAGTATGGTGTCATCAATATCTTTCAGACATTGGCCTCAAAGTTTCTTTTGTATCAGATCGAGGAGCTGTACTAAGACTGGAGCCCAATGTCTGGAGCCTTAGACTTAGTTATGGGCTGGAGGGCAATGAATGTCACGTTGCTGGATCCACATCAGATCAAAGTGAGGGCAGCTGAGGATGCTGAGGGGCAGGCTGGCTTCTCCTTGCTGTCTCATTCTCAGTCCAGAAGTGTATTTTATCAGCTCCAATTGATACAAAAACTAGTATCAGTCTGGGCTGTGGTAGCCTGCTTTAGGATTAGGGTGGCTTCAGGCCTGCAGCTGATGCAGAAGTCTGAGTTCACCATTCAGTAGTGCAAGCTACGGATATGTTACATTTCTTTGTGTTCCCCTATCTCAGCTACCAATTGGCTTCAGAGAACAGCGAAGGCCTAAATAGCCTGACTCCTGTGTCTGTGAAGATATTCCCTGGGTTCGGCTCCTGCCTTTCCAGGTTGGGCTGATGGAAACTTAGAGAAAGCTTGTTTGGTAATCATACCAAACTTGTGAAAGTTTGCCTGCAGAGCTTTGCCTAACTGCACCTTTGTGTTCCTTCCATCACTCGCAAGGTAACTTTTAAAAGGCTTTTTGTTTAACATGAGTTTCCCAGGATGCCAGGAAGCAGTTATTTGCTTTGTTACTAAAGTGTGATGGTTTGCATATTTTTTAAAATGTTTTTATAGCATTTTGCTTTGAAAGTGAAAGTCAGAAATGAAAATACAGTGTTTGCATACATTTTACTTATTTGTTTTAATTTATTCTGTTCAATTAATGGCATGTGCTTTTTAGTGCAAGTAATGAACAATCCTGATTGAAATGTAGATTGACCCTCTGTACAGGTGGTTGGCAACAACAGCCCCAGCCTGTTTAATAAATATTGCTTTCCATGTTTCCTGAGGGCAGATGGATACAGAAAAAGCATTCAGTGCCCTTTCTTGCTATTGTGGCAATACTGATTGCCATACCTTGTATGCACATAAATAATGATTGGCAGAAAGGAAATGTAGTAGATCAGTTGTGCTCAAGACAGAACGTTGCTCAAGAATATACTGTGAGCCTTCCTAAAATAATTATGTTTGGGATAGTTATAGATGAATTTTTGTTTTCAGTAAATCTATTCCCTTTGCAGGGGGGAATCTATTCAGGAAATCTATTTCCTTTGCAGTTTGTTGGAAAAACAAACTGCAGAGGCTTCATGATCCCTAGCTGCAGAGAAAAATGAGAGGATCAGAAACCTTGCTTAGCTAGATTCATAGCGAAACACAGATAACACTGCCCCCAGATGTTATTTCTCTTCCAGATCTTCCCTAATCATCAGAGTATTCTCATGCCCTCAGCCACTTTCTTACTTGTCAGTGATGCTCGGCTTGGTGTACACATGAACTACTCCATTGACCATCCTAAGGCCAAAGCCAAGATCTCCAGGCATCGATTCAGGATCACACTTCTCGTAAGGATGCTGGTTTGTAAATGGTGGATGTACTGGAGCATCTGTAACAGAGGAAAATGCTTATAAGAAGCCACCCATCTGCCCAGCAACATGACTGTTATAAGTCAGAGTTTAATGGGATGCCAAAAGAGAAATAAAAAGCTAATCTCCCTCCCCCTCTGGCCCACACCATATTTTTTTCCATTTCAGAGGTTGCTGAGTTCCCATCTCCTCCTCCTCCGAGGGTGCATGGGCACAAACCAAGCACATCAGTTATGCAGGAGCTGAGCAGGTCTTCAACATACAACGCAATTGGGGCCGGAATTTCTATCGCGAAGCAATGCGATCATAAAGCGTGACTGCATCGCTTAACAACGACAATTCCTGCAAGCCGGCAGGAAGTTGCAAGTCCCAGGCTGGCAGGCAGCTAACTGGCTGCTGCCAGTTGTGGGATGGAGTGAGGGGGTGTGCAGGGGTGCGCAAGAGGCATAGCATGGGTTGGCGAGGGTGCACAAGAGACACAGGTTGGGGAGGGTGTGCAAGGGTGCATGAGAGGTGCAGTGTGGGGAGGGTGCTCAAGGGTATGTGTGAGAGGCATGGCACGCATCGAGGAGGATGTGCGAGGATGTAACAGGGTGCACGAGAGGCACAGTGCAGGTCAGGGAGGGTGCAAGGGGGTGCAAAAGGCACAGCATGGTTGGGGAGGGCATGCGGGGGTGCATGAGGCTTTGAGGGAGGTGCAGCAAGGGTTGGGGAGGGTGCACGAGAGTGCACAAATGGCGCAAGTGCAGAGGGACTGGGGGAGGGTGTGCAGATGGGGGAAGGAAGGTTGCAAATGGCAATCACATGATCACGGGCACTGCAACCAGTTATAAGTGCAAACTGGTTGCCAAGTGCCCAGATCACAATCACGTGACTGTGGTGGTACTGGGACAGCCAAAAACTCTGAGGACCAGTCATAACCACCATTCATTTAGCACCTTCGTAACTTTGAACAGTCATTGAACGAATGGTCATAGGTCAAGGACCAACTGTAATGGGTTAAGTTTATACTGCATATAGAATGGGATGGTGCCACTGGGTAGTAGTATCCAATCTTCCCCAGATCTGATAGGGAATTTTCAAATACACTGGACTACATCTCCGTCCATCACTCACTTGGGAGCCGCCCATGATATTTGGGAATGAGGGGATTTGTAATCCAAGGCATCAAGAAGGCATAACCTTGAGGAAGCCTAGTTATGTTACTCCTTCCCATTTACCCTGAAATCTGTTTACATGGCATGTTTCTATAGAAACACGGAAAACTTGCAGCCTTGGATATAGTCCAAAAAATATAGCCTGCATGTAAAATTCCTTTGCTTTTCCTGAGAAATGTGCCTTTTTCTCTTTCTTTCTAGTTTTAAAAATAAGTTTCTAGTTGGCTCAGGTGTAGTTTAAGATGCATTGGAAACGCCTGTTCAACTCATCAAATCCAGAGACTCCTTGTTCCCCCTGTGATAGCTAACAAAGATACTATCCCTGTTTACTTCCTTGCCTTCCCCTTTATTAGCAAAATCCAAATAGAGACAACAGAATACAGCATATACAAAATAAGTGTATACAAGATTCAGCTTTTCTCAGCATAGAACTGGAATTTCCTTTGTGCTGTTTTTATCTCTCCCATGGATCCCACATAACAAATTCCGCAAGAAAGCTTGCAGAATATGTCAGCATGGAGTTCCATAACTGTGGAGTTCCTGCAGCTATCCAGTCTAATCTACTCCCAATGGCAGATATTGCAGGATTTGTTATTGCAACTGTTACTGGTTGTGGAGGAAGAGAGTTGTTGTGCCTCATCTCCTTCTCCCCCCAGACTACTTGCCAAGCTTCAAGTAGTTTACACAGTCTAAATCAGTGATTCTCAACCTTTCTGAAGCTGCCGCCCAGGAGCGGAAAATTTTTCAACGCCACCCTTTGGGGAGGGGGGGGAGTTACTGAATTATAAAAGGCAAAAATTTTAAGTAA